TTCTGTCCCTGTGTCATCTCCCTAAATTCAAAATAAATCCTTTGAAGGACAGGACTGTGTCTTTGACACCTTAGTATGGTGCTGGCACCTAGGATGTGGGTTAATGAAGAGTGAATAAGCAAATAGTGCATTTCTTGGGCCACAAAATTGTCATGAATATGATAGTGCCTGGAGTGTGGTGGAGTGAGAATTAATGAGGGGTGAAGGGAAAGTAGTTTCTTTTTCCAGCAGCTCTAATTTCCACAGAATCCAAAGCGGGGGAGCAGGCCAGCCCTCGGGAGAAGAGGTGCCAGTTCACAGGTCGTTGTCTGTTGAGAAGTTATACTGCAGGTGCACTGGACATCTGCATACTGGAAAACTTTAGGAAATCATTATAAATGTTAATTTTCACTCCTCTGAATACCTGCTCTAATTAAGCTGAAATTTGCAAAATGATCTTTCCATCAAAATGGCTGCCTTACTGGCTATTTCCCAACAGTGTCACTTGATAACCATTTTAGTTAGAATGTAGCTCCTTATGAGATGAGGTGCTATGGACTCTCAGGTCCTCTCAAGGGCACAACTAGGGAGCCACTGTAATAGGGCTAGGCCCTGTGGAAAAGGAAGCAGTTACATTTTGAGTTGCTGTTAAACATTTCAGCCAGTCCCAGGGAAGAAATCACAAGGGGGTCATTGTAGTCACTTTTAACTAGTTTTAAAGAAGCTTGCAGGTATGTGACCAAAACATAGGGAAGTAAGTGTCCATAGCTTCCTGAGGTCTCCATGAGGCCATATCTCAGCAGAGAGTGGTCAGCAATGACCAACCTGGCCCACACCCCGGGGCAGCTTTCAGGACCACAGAAATGAGGAAGGAGGGACCTAGACAGAAAGAAAGCAACACTGTGTAGCTCTCATCCATCTGCCCAGTGGTCTTGCCTTCAACATGGTGAGCCAGCCCTCTGACACAACCAAGTGAGGTGACATTGACTCAATCCACCCTCTTTTCCCCAGTCCTCACCCCTCTCCCCTATGTCACTTGTGGTACTCATTATCTCCTCTCTTTCTCTCTACTCTCCCATTTTATCTCTATAGAAGGAGCCACTCTGTGTGGAGAGGGAATGGGATGGGAGCATGTAGGCTTTAAAACTAAGTTCTCAGGGTAGAACTTTCAGCACAGAGCAATATGCACATGTAAAGAACATATTACTTTCCCAGCAGTGGCAGTTTGGTGTTTGGGGAAGTAAATGTTATTAAAGACAGAAGATGCACTTCAGCATGTGCTTGGTTTGCACATCACCTCTATAGAGAAATGGTCTATACACCTGTTTACTACAGGCCTCGCAGAGTGGGAACAACCAGCTGCTAAATTGTCACCTGCATGCTGCATGTTGCACAGCCCCAGCAAGCCACAGACATCTGTTAAAAGGCACAACTGGCTAAGGGTTTCCTGACACCATTCTTTTGACATCTGGAGGCAGCACCTGAAAACTCAGATTTCTTACTACCTCAGAAATACAGACTGGATTGTCCCAAGCAATCCATCTATTTATACAGACTCTGCAGAGAACACCTTCTTGGAATATTTTTTGGAAATTCTGGTTCCAGACCTTGAGGGATTCACCAGCTAGGTGAAGATAAATGCAGCTACACTTGCAGACCCACAGTGCTCACTAAATCAGGATAAAGGAATGAATTTTGTGCTCTTCTAGGGTCTCCCTAAACATAGGCAGATCAGCATCACACTTTAAAGACACAGAATTTGGATTTGTTGTTGAGGCTCCTTTTGTTTTGTTTGTTTTCCATTCTTGCAGAGAATATCATTTTTGTTGACAAAATTCCCTTAATTTCAGCCAAAATGAGATTGCCCTGTGAAGAGTAACTCATGAAGCCTGCACTGCTTGAGAGACTCATCAGCCCCTGCCTTCAGAGTTGATCCTATGGATGGAAAAGGGGAAATGCTGAGGCCAGGAGAGGAGTGATAGTGGGATCCCCGGGCAACAGCCAACACTCCCATCCTGTTGCTGGGGACCTGGATTCAGAGAACCAGAAAACTCCCCCATTTGTGATTCTGACCTCAAAACTCCCTGCTTTTACTCTATATGATGAACCTTAAAAATAACAACAATAATAACTTGAGGGTTCCAGCCAAGATGGAGGCATAGGTAGATATGCTTCACCTCCTCACACAGCCAAAAGAAGGAACAACCAATTAAAAAAAAAAAACCAAAACCGCAAGAAAATAGAACTGTATGGAAGTCCTACAACCAAGGAGTTAAAGAAGAAACATTCATCCAGACTGGTAGGAGGGAGGAAGACAGGCAGCCAGGGAGGGAGAAGACATGCAGCAAGGCATAGCTGGCAGACCAGGAAGGCCAACTGCTGGCTGGCAGACTGGGCAGTCCCACATTTGCATGCAGATAAACAGATAAAATTGGGGGATGAGGCAGACTGAGCAACCCAGGGTTCCAGCGCAAGCAAAATAAAACCTTAGAACCTCTGGCTATAAAAACCTGTAGGGGTTGTGGTGGAGGGAGAAACTGCCAGTCTCTTAAAGCCAGGTGAGAGCCAAGCAAGCAGCATTGATCCCTCTCTGAGCCATCTCCCACATCAGTGCCACAATGCAGGAAAGTGGGTTGCCCCACCCTGGCAAATACATAAGGCTCCACCTCTCACAACATAACAGGTGCACCAAGACAAAAAAATATGATTCAAATGAAAAAGCAAATCAAAATTCCAGAAAAAGAACTAAGCAACGATGAACTAGCCAACCTGTCAGATGCAGAGTTCAAAACACTGGTAATCAGGATGCTCACAGAAATGATTGAGTACAGATGCAAAGTAGAAGAAGAAGTGAAGATTATACCAAGTGAAATGAAGAAAAATATATAGGGAACCAACAGTGATGAGAAAGAAACTAGGGCTCAAATCAATGATTTGGAACAGAAGGAAAAAATTAACATTCAACCAGAACAGAAAGAAGAAACAAGTATTTACAAAAATGAGAAGAGGCTTAGGAACCTCTGGGACAACTTTAAATATTCCAACATCTGAATTATAGGGGTGCCAGAAGGAGAAGAGGAAGAGCAAGAAACTGAAAATGTATTAAAAAATAATGAAAGAAAACTTCCCCAGTCTGGCAAAGGAACTAGACATACAAGTCCAGGAAGTTCAAAGAATCCCAAAGAAATTTGACCCAAAGAGGAGTGCACCAAGACACACTGTAATTAAATTATCCAAGGTTAAAGATAAGGAGAGAATCTTAAAACCAGCAAGAGAAAAGGAGAGAGTTACCTACAAAGGATTTACCATAGGACTATCAGCTGATTTCTCCAAAGAAATCTTACAGGCAAGAAGGGGCTGGAAAGAAGTATTCAAAGTCATGAAAGTCAAGGACCTACATCCAAGATTACTCTATCCAGCAAAGCTATCGTTTAGAATGGGAAGGCAGATGAAGTGCTTTCCAGGAGAGGAGGCAGGAAATGGTGCAGGGCCTCCACTGTCTGTGCCCCTGGAGGAGCTGCAGGGATCAGCCTCCAGAAATGGAAAATGGGGATGGAATAGGAGGCATCACCACTGGTAGCTTATCTCTCATCTGTCCTGTGGCTCTTTAGGAAAAACAAAAAGCCTATGGGTTGAATCAGAGATCTCAGTGCAGTTTCACTGCTGTTAGTGACATGTCATGCCATGCTCTGTCCTTGGGTATAAGTGCAAGTGTCAGGAAGCAGAAAATTTGTAGCGAAGACATCACTCCTGATATGCAGCCCCAGACACTGGCCTGACCCAGGCCAGAATCCTGGGGAGTGTTGCCACAGGCTCAACAAAGACCCCAAGTCTGTACTGGGCCCAGGGAGAAAACCAAGCCCACCAGACACCTCTCTAGATCTGGAAGGTCACACACTGGGCCTGGTGTTCTGCTGTCATTCATGTGGTCAGTTACCCTTGATCGCCTCTCCACATGGCCTAGGTTGCACTTTTCACAAGTGTTCTTGGGGCACAGGGGCTAACTGTGTGACACTTGCACCTCCAACTCTTAGGAATTATAATGTTGGCTTCACAGGGTCAGAGGTTTGCTGAAGTCCAGGCAAAGACCAGGTAAAGGAGTAAATCAGTAAAGCAAATGTCTATGAGCAGGAATGACTGACTGGATCCCAAGTGACCCAGAGATGGGCTTTGGGGAACCCAGGCACCTGGCCCAGCTCATCACTGAGTTACCAGTGGCTCTAAGGGACAGTAGGCTCTATGTAGGCTGGTGGAGTGAGTGCATGACCTGTGGAATCTCGAGTTTGCACAGGAATATCACATGGGGCCCTAGGCGTCCTCAAAGGCAAAAGCTAACTGCATTGGATGAGGTGGGAGAGGCCAGGCGGGGCCTGTTCTGACAGAATCTGTGCCTGTCTTGGCCTCCACTCCCATCCTGTGCAAAACATGTTCCCATCAGCGGGATGCCTGGAGTCACCCTGGTTACCCAGAATGACACACATGGCCGGCCTGGGGTGGAGGTGCTGCTCTCTTTGGAATCACAGCCTGAAATCCAGCAGCCCAGCAGGTTCCTCTCCCTCTAGATCGGGGGCGGCAGTGGCCCTCTGTCACTTGTTTGGTGACAGATCACTGTATTGTCTCCTCCACACCTTCTCTTCCAAGAACCCTGCTACAGAAACATGTTCGTCAGACAGAGACACCCTCAGGTTTGCCCCTGTTGATCCTGGTTTGAGAAGTCAGTCAAGTTCTGGAAATGAGAACTCCCACTGTCAGTGCCATCCTGAAACAAGGTGGGCACAGGGCCACCCTGGCACCTGCTGTAGCTCCTCAGAGCCCTGCCTCCCAGCAGCTGTGTGGTGCTCGTGGCCTGTGCTGTCCTGTCTTTTACAGTGAATGTGGAGGGTGCTGCTTAGAGATCCTCAAGGCTTAAGGCAGCAGGCCCCTGGGTGGGATGAGGCAGGCTGGAGAGGAAAGCAGAGTCACCCCCAGGGGGAAGGGCAGTCTGCATGTGGTGTTCTGACTGTCGTCTTCTCTGCCCCCAGGCCTGGACGTCAGGCAAGCACAGGTTGTCGTCCTGTCCTCGGGGACCAAGTGCATCAGTGGCGAGTACATCAATGACCAGGGGCTGGTGGTCAATGATTGTCACGCCGAGATTGTGGCCCGGAGAGCACTGCTCCACTTCCTGTACGCACAGCTGGAGCTGCACCTCAGGTGAGCGGCCCGTCCCTGGGACATGTGCTCTGGATGTAAGCTCAGAGCTGCTGTATACAGGCAGACTCCCTGCACATGGTAGACAGGCTGCCCCTACTGCACGAGCTTTACACAGAAGGGTGGCATCCACACAAGCACCAGCCATGTTGCCACACCAGCTGATCAAATGCTGAAATTGCAGACTCCGGCCCCCATGATTCTCAGGCCTCCTTCCAGGAAACACCTGCTTGCCTATGAGTAAACATGACTGCAGCAAACCACCTGTAAGGTTCACATCTGTGCACACACATGTCCACACATATGAACATGCCTTGTCACACACCCATTACATTTGATGACATTGTCTATTAAAACATTTGCTGTGTCTTAGCTCAGGCTGCTGTAACAGATCGCCACAATGTGGGGGCTTAACCACTGATTGTTCAGTCTGGAGGCTAGAAGTCCAAGGTCAAGGTGCTGACAGATTCCATGTCTGCTGAGGACCATCTTCCTGGTTCACAGACAGGGTCTTCTTACCATGTCCTCACATGAAGGGGTGAGGGAGCTCTCTGGGATCTTTTTCATAAGAACATGAATCCCATTATGACTAATGCCTGCACCGTCATGACCTCATCACTTCCCAGAGGCCCCACCTCCTAGTGCCAGCAAATGAAGTTTGGGGACACAAATGTTCAGTGCTTAGGAAGGGGGTCTCTAAAAGGCAGCTTCTTCCAGCAATGACAACACACCACCGTAAAGGCACAGGCACCGTAAAGGCAGTGCTCTCTCTCTTCATGAGCCAGAGGGTGTGCAGGGTCAAGGGCACCATTCAGAAAGAGGGTGGGGACCACGGCCACCCCTATGCTCCACATGCTGTCAACTGTCAGGGTGACTGGCCTGTTCACTACTCACACTCTAAATGCCACAGACAAGGAGACGGCAGGAAGTGCAGGACTGGCTACAGGGGTGAGGAGGAGTACCAAAGGAGCACTCCCCCAGCTCTGGCTTAAGCTGCCCCTTTCCTGTGGGGTTAAATGAAGGCAATATTTTTCCCACCACCAGCCCTCAGTTGCTAATCCCAGAACTAGCCTTGCATTCTAAAAAGGAAGAAAACCTCACAGAAAAGCCTGTCTCTGAGAGATGGTGCTGTCCCTCCTTGAAATAAGAGTGGCAACAAGGGAGCTGAGAGTGGAGACAGTGCTCCAATGCCTGGAGCAACTCCCTGCTCCCTGGTCCACTGCCTCCCAGAGCAGATGGGGGGCCTGTGACATCACCCCAGCTCCATTTTGACAGAGCTGTGCCCACTTCAAAGGGGACCCACTTCACAGTACAGTTCAGTACTTTCACCAGGCCTAGTGCCTGTGACCTGCAGAAAAGCTCGGGATTGCTGAGCACCTGCCTCTGCCCTGTCTGTGTCCCATTCTGACACTTTCTCAGCCAAGGACACTTCTTACAGAACATGGCTTTCCTCTACAAGATGACACCAGCTGCAAGGCAGCCTGCCCTTTAGTTCCCCTTCTCCAGGCCTTGTCCTGTCCCAAGCCATGGGGTACAGATTCCACCAGACAAGCCCAGGCCAACTTCCCGCGTCCCAGCCAGCAGCTCAGAGTCCGTCTGAAACACCAACCAGGCTCGGGTCCAGCCTGCTCCTACACCCCAGGCCCTAATGTGCCCAATTCCCAGAACTTGTCTCGAGACACCAGGACTGAAGTGGCCAGTGATGGGCTTTAGATGCTGTTTCCTGCCTGCTCCTTTTCTAAGTATGTCTTCAAAAAGATGTTCTAAAAGCAAAGGGCCGTCCAGACCCTGAGAAATGTGCTCCCAAGTCCGAATGCCCCGTGTTCTCAAGCAACCTGCTGAGACCGCCAGGATGTAGCAGGCTGTCACCTGCACTGGCATTTCTCTGTATAACAACATGGAGCAGAAATGCAGGTGGTCGTGAGCGCCTGCTGCATCCGGATGCAGCCCTGTACTGAGCTGTTTGGTCACAGTGACTTCATAGCTATGTCTTTGCCAGAAACGCTTCTTCCTTGCCTCTTCTAGCTGCTTCTACATCCTTTGAAGCAGCATTCCCCCACCCACAAACATGGGGTATTGGGAGCTTCAGAGAGTGGCTCATGTGTGCCAGAGCACGTGTAGCAGCCCCACAGGGGCAGGAAGGCCCAGAGGCACACCAGGCTGCCCCAGGGAATCGATGCGTGACCCCAAGGGGGACGCCAGAGTTGAACAAGAGGGGCAGAGCCGCAAATCTCTCCAAATGTGGAGAAGGCTTTCTCCCAAATCTCCAAGTGCTCAATCAGGAATATTTCCAAATACCCCTCACGTGCTTGTGACACTGAAGGCATGGGCCAACACCAGCCCTGGGCTAGCTGTGTGCTGGCACCATGGCACTGGCTGCCAGGGGTGCGACTCTGCCTCTCTGGGGGACAAGCAATGGCTGAAAAAGAGACAGCAAAAGACAGCCAGTCTCCCACAGCCACCCAGCAGGCCAGGCTGTGTGTATGCTCTAAGGTTGGGGGGTGCTTTGGGAGAGTGAGGGGAGCTGGCAGCGGAAGGGGAGAGGCAAGGAAGCAGAAAGGCTGGTGGGATGCCTCTAGGGTTTCCTGGGGAGAAAATGTCTGTTCTGCTGCCTGGTGATCTCAGAACCCAGCAGAACAGAATCCATCACCAGTGGGGCAGAACATGTGAAAACAGCCAGAGCGGCAGAAAGCAGAGAGTGCCTATAGTGAGAATGAGGCCTGGGGGAGAGCAGCCATGCCGGCTCGGAGCCTCAGAGGGGGTGGGGGCTGGACGACTGTGGGAGCAGGCCAAGGGTAGCAGCGCGCCCTCCACGACCCGAGGGCCACTCAGTGTGATGGCGCGCTCCCCTGGTCATGGCTGGGCCCGGCAGAAAGGCACGTCCAAGCACTGGGCTCCTCACTGGGCTGGCAGCCGAGCCCTGCCTCCTTTTAGAGTTCCTTTGCCCCTGTTAATACAGAAATGTGAGGCGTGCAGAACCCACAGCACCTGGAGCCGGCGCAGTGGGGAGCGCTCGTGAATCCAGGCTTCAGGAAAGATCAGCCCGACTGTAATTGTTGTGGGAGGTAACAGAACAGGATTTCGCATGGTTTCACCTATTCCAAAAGTTTCCATGCAAAGGCGAAGAGGAAAAAACTGGGGAACAATGACAAAATGGGACAAAAGCACCCGCCAATCGGGGCGTGTCTGGTCGGTTGGTCCGCAGTAGTCAGTGCAGCCTCTTTCTGCCCCCAGCAAGCGGCGTGAGGACTCGGAGCGCTCCATATTCGTGCGGCTGAAGGACGGAGGCTACCGGCTGAGGGACAACACTCTGTTTCACCTGTACCTGAGCACGTCCCCCTGCGGAGATGCGCGCCTCAACTCGCCCTACGAAATCACCACAGACCGTAAGAGATGGCATTTGTACATTTTTAGGAACCCCATGTTCTGCTGGGTCCCACACGCTCTGCCCAGACCCCGAGTGCGTGGTATGTGGTGTATGGTGTGGCGACGCCCTGAGACTCTGGGCACAGACGGAATCTGCCATTCTGTGTAGTGATCCCTTTCGAATATCAGAGTGGCGAGAAATCTAAAATTATCTATGTCATTGCACCGGCCCCCACTCCATCTCAATGGATTGGAAACCCCTGTCCCAGGCTGGAGGACAGAATGAAGGAGGCCAGGGACCAGAATTACATGGAGTGGCCGCATCTTCAAGCTGCTTTGTTTGCCCTCTTTCCATCTTTGGGAGAATAAAGCTCAGTGTTGTCATGAAGCTTGATGCCAGCAAAGACACCTCCCCAGGGTAGCTGGCATCACCCACAGAGTTCTGTACTGAGTCCCTTCTCGAGACCTGCCCTCTGGGAGCTTTCCACAGCAGGTGCACACAGTGCCCTTCACCCCCACCACCATAGGGAGGGGCACTGTGTGTCCTAGAGTGGAGGGCTCAGTGGGGTCTTCTCTGTGTAGGTCTCATGGTCAGTGCCCCCCTGTGAAATAGAAAGTGGGCAGCTAAGAAAGTTTGTTACTGATACTATGTGTGTGTATATATATGCTACACATACTTGTGCACGCACACCACACACACAGGCACACACACGCTCCCAGAAACTGCATGGGGCAGCCTTGCTGATGTAGGCCCTGCCGTTAAATGTGTGTATGTGATGAGGGGTCTGGTCCTAATGAGTGGGGGAGGCACCCAAGGCTCAGTCCTGTGCTCAGAGGAAACCACAGACAGTGCAGTTACTGAAAGTCTGTTTTTGCCCTCTGACTCCCCCCACCAAAGGCCACAGCTGTATTCTCAGAACCACAGGGAAGAAAGACAAGCATGTGCTGGGTGTCTGCTGCATCCCAGGCTTGTGAGGAGTGCCTCCCTCAGAGATAAAGAATGTGCAGGGAGCCCTGGCTGGCGTAGCTCAGTGGATTGAGCGCGGGCTGCGAACCAAAGTGTCGCAGGTTCGATTCCCAGTCAGGGCACATGCCTAGGTTGCAGGCCACGGCCCCCAGCAACCACACATTGATGTTTCTTTCTCTCTCTCTCTCTCTCTCCCTCCCTTCCCTCTCTAAAAATAAATAAATAAAATCTTTGGGGGAAAAAAAAGAATGTACAGGGAAATGGCACTCAGTCCTACATGGTTTTTATTTTATTTTATATTTCCATCCTACATGCATTTCATCTATTTCTCTGGCACTCAGAAATGTTTCTGGTCCAGAAAAATGCATTCTTCTTTTTGCCAACTTTCCTCCAAGCTTTCCCCTTTGGAAAGGGCTGGACAGACTCCTCCATAGTGGGATTCCAAGTGACATTTTCACTAATGTCTCAGTCAGCTCGAGCAGCCAAAGCAGAACACCACCCCGGGGGCCTTATACACAGCAGACATTCATCTCACAGTCTGGACGCTGCAAGTCCAAGATCCTGGCCCAGCAGACTCGGTGTCTGATGAGGGCCCTCTCCTTGGTTCACAGAAAGGGCCTTCTCCCTGTGTCCTCACATGGTGGAATGGGTGAGGAGGCTCCCTGGGGTCTCTCAGCACGAACACTAATCCTATTGGGGAGCTCTACGTGCATGACATCATCTGAACCAAATTACTTCCCCATGACCCCATCTCTTAATACCATCTCCCTGGGGGTTAGAGCTCCAATATGAGAATTTGGGGGACGCAAACATTTGGTCCATACAACACCCAAGGGAAAGCAAATGGAAGAACAAAGTCTAATAGTGAATCAGGAGAATGGAATCCACTAAGTGTCAGGGACCTTTCAAGGCACTTCCCAGGGTCAAGGGGCGGGGGTCGGCCAGGGGCAGAGCAGTGGACACAGCTCTCCTCCAAGTGAAGAGCCCCACCTGCCGCAGCCAGTGGAGTATTGCAGGGAATTCCTTCACTACCACATCTCAAAAAGAGAGAGAGAAAAAACAATATGAAGTAGTTCATTTTTCTTGAGAGGTTCATCAGACTGGGTCTACATGATCCTACCCTACACATACACACACACACATACACAAAGTGCATTCAGTTACTGGAATTGTCTTCTCATTTGTCTTTTCAAAAGGTTTGGCTTCATGAAGACCCAGACAAGGGGTCCTCAGGAAGTCCTGCAGGTGTGTGGGGCCAGTACTAATTCATCCAGCTTCCTCCCCACAGGAGCCCCAGTCATGCCTGAGCCCCACCAGTCTCTGTAGAGGGAGCGTTCTGGCTCATTGGGCACCCACTGCAGCCTCTCCAGCTTTTGACTTGTAAAGCCAGGGGTTTAGAAAAACAAAACAGATATGTCTCAGGTGCACCCTGGGGTTCGCTTCCAGGCACAGATGCCTTTTATTTCATGGTGCTTTTAAGAAGTGGCAGGTGCTGCTAGGGGAAAGAAAGTAAAGTATTTCCCTCACATTTTGGCTGCAGATATGCCAGGCAAAAATGAGGTGCTGCTCCAGAGTTACTGAGGCTGGCATTCCTCCCAGTGCATCCTACTGGGGACGCTGAGGAGGGAGCACCTGGCCAGCTTGTCCTGCAGACTGTCTGCCAAGAGCCCTGCATTACCTTCCCTTACCAGTTCAGTGAGGGCAAGAAACCCAAATTCCTGCTTGGAAGGGCTTCCCAGAGAGACTGCAGTTTCCCCACACTCCTGAGAAAGGCACAAGGCTCAGGAACAACTCTGACTTTGGAGAGAAACCACTGACATCAGGGTGGGGGCTCTGCATATGTCTCACGCAAGTGTTTCTCTCTGCTACTCTTTCAAGAGGGTTGGATGGCCAGGGGAGGGGATGCAGGTGACCGGCAGGGGCTCCTTCCAGGACAGAGGCCTTGGGGACAAGCCCTGCCTGCTGGGCGATCCCAGAGGTCACAAGTCTGCCTCCTACAAGTAAACCCTATAGAAGCCCAGCCTCACTGCCTATCTGCTGTGGGTCCATGCTCCTACAGGGAGTCCAAAGCATGGGACCTGAAGGTTACGGCACAGTCATTGTGCCCACATTGTGTCCCCTCGCCAGAGGTTGTCATCAGTTCTGCCGAGCTTCTCACAACCCGGGAGAAGCTCCAGCACTGGAGTTTCCCAACTCCTGGCCACTCCAGGGGTCACCCTGTCTCCTCTCACCAGCACTTTATCCTGTGTGGTTCCTATTACTTGAGCTCATTTTATCCTCACACCTTTGTCTGGTCTGCAAGGAGCTGTTTGTCGTACATCTCTGCATGGCCGCATGCCGGCCCCAACACCTACAGCTGTGCCCATACTCTCCTCTTTTTCCTACACACACACACGCGCATGCACATGCACAAGCACATGGACATGCACACACACTCAACAGGCATCTGACCTGCCAAGTGTACAGACATGCCTGTGATTGACTAGGTCTGAGATGCTCTGAACAGAGTTGTCCACAATGTCCCCTTTCCTTTAGAAAAGTAAGGGAATACGCCCTGGCTGGTGCAGCTCAGCGGACTGAGTGCTGGCCTGTTCTCAGTCAGGGCACATGCCTGGGTTGTGGGTCGGGTTCCCCAACCCCGGTAGGGGGTGTGTGAGAGGCAACTACTCATTGATGTTTCTCTCCCTCTCTTTATCTCTCTTCCCCTCTCTTTAAAAATAAACAAAATCTTTATTTCAAAAAAGAGTGAGTGAACGCAGAGCAAGCGCAGGGGAGAAATTCCGCCAATAGGTCTGAACAACTGTTAGAGCCAATATCACATCCCAGACCTCTGGCTAAGAGCCAGGTCTGGCTGACCTCTAAGCATAAACACCTGACTCTCACCAGCTGCCAAGCAAAGGGACCTTCCACAGGGGCCACCTTGGCCTCAGTTGTCCCCCCAGTGCTAAAACCTCCAGGGGTTCTTGAGGCCAGATCAGAGCTCTGTATCCATGAGGCCGCATAGTGCCCTACTGTGACCTGGCCCACCTCCCTTGGATGCTCATGGCTCAAGAAACTCTTACCTCCCTATTTTTATTTCTTTTTCTCAAAAAACATGTAGACAGATCATAAATTCTGCCTCCCTGGAGTCTTTAAAAATGAAATCAATAATTACTAGTCTGAAATGTCTGGGACACATGTGGCCTGGTAACAGCTGTGGGTTGTCCCCATACCTGGCTTATGTCAGGACCACCTGGGAAGTTGCTAAAAATGCATACCTGTGCTTTCCCTGAGATTCTGGCACATTTGTTATAGTGGGTCTGATCTGTGCTTTCAGAATTTTCTCTGTGATTGTGAGGATGAGGACCAGCCATGTTTTGAGCCACCGGGTTCGAAACCTCTAACCTGTCTCCTGCCCCGATTGGGTGTGTCTCCTGCTGGCGCAGTGGGGAGGCCTGCATGCGCAGGAGGGTCTGCTGGGGTCCCTGCAAGAGCCAGGCAGATGTGGCAGGCAGGCAAGGCTTTTACTGATAGGGACAGAGCGGCTCCAGCCACAGGCTCTGTATACAGAAGCCAGACCCCACAAGGATGATTCCATTTCCTAAGTGGATGTGGAAGACCTGGGCTAGGCCCAGGGCAGTTCTGGTAAGAACCCAAACTGACCAGAGTGATGAAAAGTTCTAGGGCCCTTCCTGTGGCTGAGCTATTGTAGAGTAACTATTGTCCTCCTTCTAACTCACCAATATTCTTAAGGCAAAGTCTCTCTTGGCATGTTCTTAAATAGCCTAGCTCTTACTGCCACTTCCAAGGAATTTAACAGCTTAGTGAAATCCTCCAAACTGTCTCCCATAAGATGCCATGAGGAATAGCATAGTTCTGTCATATCTTACGAGAATGTGCTAAATACCTAGTATGTTCTGTTTCATTTATTATTCATTAGGGCAGTTCAAGAGATAAGCCCAAATTCCCATAGGAAGTCAGGGAACCTAAAATGCACTTTCTGAAGTCTCTGTCTTCAGATTTGCCTACTGAGTTACAAAAGCAGGCAATATGTGTTTGTGCACCATAGGATCAATGAATTTAAGTGGCCTCATAATTCACCATCATCACCATCACTACCTTCATCAAGTGACACAAAGGACACCCACATGACCACATGATAAATACTGTAGATGTTATTAAAATAAATAGTAGATTTATTTTAATAGTAGATTGCTTCACAGGTATACTTTCTGGGACATGTCTTTTGAAGATGACTCAAAAATTAGAAGTTTATTGGGTGTTTAAAAACATTCTCTCCCTTTCCTATGCCTGTTTTCTCATTTCTGGCTCTCTTTTTCTCCCCTAGTGCCTTACTGCAGCCATGTGTCACTTTTTAGCTAGATCTTGGCTCCTAGGGGGACTTCAACTGTCATTTAGCTCCATCTCCTATTGCTTGTCTCCTAAAAATAAAGTATCCACCTGACAATTACCTAAAGTGTAATACCTTATTGTGATGTCAGTCTCTAATGGTAAGGGTTTAGATTAATAAATACCATAATGAAGAGGTGGTCATTTGGACAATCAGAATTAGATCAGCATATACTCATTTGAGAGTGCGTATGTGTCCACAGCAGGCAGGATTTTCACATTTCACACCTCCGCTGTAGGGCACACCATAAACCCACTACAGGTTATTTAGGTTCCATTCCCCACAGTTTCTGGTTCACTTGACGTTTTGTTCTGCTTGAAGTGGCATCTTCAACTCCCTCCTGCCTCTCCAATTAGGCATGAAAGAGCCAGAGGAAATGGGCTTTACAAGATTGTTGACACTCAGAGCCCTGGGGACTGATCACACTCATCAGGGAGCTGCTAGAGAAGGCAGCCTGAGATTTAACACCTCTAAAAATAAATGCTTCTCAGGAGCCTCTCCTGCACCTAACTTTTCAGGAAAAATTAATCTACCTGAAACCTTCGGGTTAGCTCCTGGATAGCACTTATTAATTCAAGCCAGGCCTCCCTGTTGGCATGCCATTACCAACCCAGAGGGTCTACTTCACGGGAAGTTTGTTGTGCAGAAGCAATGAGTAAGACTTGAGGAAAGCCTTACAACAGGCAACTTTCAAGGTCTGGAAAACAACACCATAGTGGAAGCACTGAGAGAATGATATGAATACTGTAATCACCTGAAAGAGAGGTACAACAAGCACCCTATTTCCTGAGAAAACATCCCCCACACAGAAGAGTCAGGGCACTTGTATGTGGTAAACTACGGAAACTACTATGTATATTGGCCCTCCACTCTCCCAGTGCTGCCGGCCATAGGAAGTTGATGTGATAAAGACCTCTCCAGGACAGTGTAAAAAGGTCAAACCAAAGATTGCCTCAAGTGTTTTTGAGTAATATGAACTATTTTATGTTCAATTTACCATAATCACTATCATCATCTTTGTCATGATCACTATCACCATCATCACCATCACTACCACCTCCATCACCATCAGCTTTACCACTGTCACCATCATCATCCCCATCATCATCTTCACCATCACCATCATCATCACCATTGCCACTATCAACCATCATTATTATCAACAGCATTGTCACCATCACCATCATCACCATCACTGTCAGTGTCATGATTCATAGTGCCATTTAAAACAGCAAAGAAGAGATTTGTGCCCTGCCAGAGTACGGCTGGGTGTTGCTTGGCTGTGCCCACCTTGGTCTTCCTGTGTGGATGACTCACAGACCAGTCCCAGTGGGTCTCATCAAGCACTCAGCTGGTAACAGGATCAAAAAGCATCCTAAAAACTTTGGAAGTTTACTTTCTCTGAGGAGTATGGCAATCTTTTTTCCCAAGAGATGGCCATTGGGTACTATGGATATGTAGTAAAAGAACTTTGCTTCTTAGAAAAAATGATAAAAAATACCGGAAGTTACTTTAAAATCTGAAAGAGATGTCCACAGAAACCCACATCTTATTTATTATTTGATGCCTTCAGTAAGAATAAATGAGGAAGAAATCCCCTTTCCACAACTTCTAAAACAAAACTGAAGCTTTTTAAAGAAAGTATCTAGCATCCATCCATGTCATCACATGTAAGTAAATGGTGAAATCACTGTACTATTTCACATGCAATTTGAATGTAAAGCAGTTAACTGTTTCCATATTATAGTATAATCCAGACTTAATGTACAGAACTTTTTTTAAGAAAGAAAAATAAATACAATCTTCCCCTTGCTCATGCTAGTTCTCCAAATAACTGTGGGGGTGGGGTGCAGTGTGTGTGTGTGCATACAGAGGGCTCTGGAAAGGGAAAAGAGAAGGAGCGCAGAGTAGGGACCCACCCTCAGGCTGCGTCCCGTCATTCCTGAGCACAGCAGAGAGGCTGCCTCCCACGGCCTTTCGCTAATAACTGACATGGTGCTGACACTCTCAGGTGTCTTGTCTATTTCCCCCCACAGGCTAGGAGGTAGGCACTATTGTTACCCCAATTTCAATATGAAATAACTGTGTCACCATGATTTTCAGCAACTTCCCCAGTGTTGTGCAGCTAGGAAACAACAGAGCCATGATTAAAATCCAGACTGGGGTGGGCAGACCACAGCCCTCAGGCCAGATCCCACCCACTGCCACCTTTTCTGTATGGCCCATGAGCTAAGCCTGGTTTTACATTTTTAGATGGCTGAAAGGGTGACAAGAATAATATTTCCTGACAGATGAAAATGACGTGGAACTTTAATAGTGTGGGGGAACACAGCCCTGGGCTATGCTGGCCAGGCGGTGCTGCTCTGTGCTTTGGGGCACAGCTGAGCGGCTGTGACCAAATGGCCCCCGAGCCTCAGACACTTGCTGCCAGTCCCTTTACTGGGAGGCAGCCAAGCCGGTCTAGCAGTGGTGCTCTGGAGCCCAGCTTTTCACCACGTCACTGTTGGAAAGAAGAAATTACTCCCTGCCCTGGCGCTCACTTATGTTTCCCTGTCCTGATCCACTGGCAGTGGCCCTGGGGTCCCTTGAGAAGTTTCTGGGTGCACTCCTCCCCTGCCTCCTCCAAGCTGGGAGCCCACCTGCCTCTGGGCAGACAGGGTCCCAGCCCCTTCTCACACCACCTCTTATCTCCTAGTGACCAGCAGCAAACATGTCGTCAGGAAGTTCCGTGGGCACCTCCGCACGAAGATTGAGTCCGGGGAGGGGACTGTGCCCGTCCGGGGCCCCAGCTCAGTGCAGACCTGGGACGGCATCCTGCTGGGTGAGCAGCTCATCACCATGTCCTGCACGGACAAGATCGCCAGGTAACAGCCCCTCTGGCAGCCCGAGTGACAGCAGGCACAGGGAGCATCCCCAGGTGAGGGCCCGTCCCTCCCTCACAGACCACACTCTGAGTTTCAGGTGCTCGTGGCCAGGGCATCCTGAGTGACTACATGCCTGGCAAGTCTGAGCTGCCGCTGCAAACACAAACATACAGGGTGCTGGTGTAGCTCCCTGTCTGACAGACTGGGCACCGCCAGGCTCAAGGGACGAGGAGGAAACAGGTTGTGCCATCTACTCAGCCCACCTGTGCTCAGCACCCCCTGGGGCTACCTGCCCCCAGGCCCCCAGTCACATCTTGCCTCACACACGGGTAGCCCTTCCAGAACGCCCTGTACCCCACAGTGTGGAGAATGCCCTCCCAGGTTCAGAACTTCCCTGAAACCTGGCAAACGTTCTAGAAAACGTGTACAACTGTACTGACAGCTGAGGAGGCCCCCTCACCCCATGCCATGAGATGGTCTCCTTCCCGAAAATGTCCTCAAAGGCCCCATGTGGAGGTTCTATGGGAAATCTCAGCCCAGCCAGCAGGGGGAGAGGGACTTGCAGGGAGGATGTCAGGTGGTCCTGAAAGGCACCTTGTCCTCAGCAGCCACTCCTTGATCAAGGTGGATAGAAACTTCCAGGAGTAGAGCCAGCCCCCACACTCCCATTCTGAGCTCCTGGGCAGGCCATCCCTCCCAGTAGCCCTTCTGCGACTTCGTGTGGAAAATAGGCCCCAGCACCCCGAGAGGAGGGAAGGGTCACCTGGGGAGAGTCAGACACCCTGACAGAGCTGCCCCTAGTGGTGATAACAGTGAAATGATGGTGAAAAACTAGTGTTCGAGTGAATCAAAACTTCTTTTAGAAACTTGGATAGATTCACTTTTCTATAATCGATTTACCAAGTAAAAACAGGGTATTGTAATCAATTGTGGTCCTCGTCCCAGCCACGTTGCTCCCGAGATGCTGCACGTGGAAAGTTCTGAGGTCAGAACTCTCAGGAGATGAGAAGGCTGGTCTCACGTGACGGGGGAGGGAGGTGGAGGGAGGGATGTCATGGCAGCATCTCAAACCCCCCCACACACAGGAAATGTGGGGTAGAGCTGAGGGTGGCAGGGTGCCCACAGCACTCAGACCACGAGCACGGTCCCAAGCGTGGTCCTAGCACGTGGACACCTGTGAAGTGGGACTGTCTCTCCTGCTGTCACTCAAATAGCACCTTGCTCAGGCCTGGCACATGCCACTGCTCCTCAAACATTTGCTGAGGGGTTGCATGGCTGCTTTACCTCTACCACATGAAGTATCCATCCACTGCTGCCTTTCTCCTGGAAAGCAGAGAGCAGGGCAGTCAGAGGGGGCAGGCAAAGGTGAAGGGTCCCTCTGTGGACTCAGGGGCCAGGGCAACCCAGACCACCCCCAGGGGGCCTCACAGGCTCCAGGGGGAAGGCAAGTGCCACAGGACCCCACAGAGGGTCCCATCCTCTCGGGACCTCCCTTCCTTGCTCTCCGGGGGCAGATAAAAGCTCAGCCCCTGTTCTCAGGGGCATCCAAATTCTCAGGGGGATTACCAAATGGCTGCAGGAGAAATAGGGCCATTTGCTTCCCAGGTTTCTAGCCCCTGGTCCAGCAAAGGCAACAGGAGGACCCAATGACAATGATCAAAGCACTAATTCCGCATCAGAGGGAACAGCTGCTGTCTTCAGCCAGCTTGTCTTTCAGGGAATGGTGCGTCCCTACCTTGTGATATTTTCACCTGTACATGAAGCAGGAAAAAAGAAGCAATTTTCGCCCTAACCAAAATTCTCTTGGTGCTCTAAGATCACATCAGTTTCTAAATCCCTAGAAAAGTGAAGTGAATTAATGCTGCAAAACTGAAATTTCATTGTCTCTGGGATTTTAACCATCAGTAGACAGCAAATTCAATGAGACTACAAAACCCACATGACGTGAGCTGCCCACAGGTCTGCCAACAGCAATGCCGCTGCTCAAAGTCGGGTTCTGCTCTTTCCAGTAAAATCTACTGGAAAAACGAAGACTGAGTTGCATCCCCTCCAGGAGTTTTCAAAGTGTCCTGGTTGGAGAAAGGCTCTAGAATGCTTCTGAAGAGCAGTACACACATGGAGCCGTCGTGACCTCCTGGCTCTGGGCCGGCTGCAGAAACGGCTCTCCCTGGACGGACCCAGGAATTCATCCACAAGTGCACGGTGGACGCGAGCTCCCCAGGGAGGCTCTCACTCACCTGGTTCTGGACCCCAAATCTGGTGGCGACACGCAGAGGGGCACAGTGCGGTGGGAGGAGCCCAGGAGGAGGTGCTGGCACCAGGTTCCCTCTCATCCCTCGCTCAGTCCCTTAGAGCCCACCCCCTTCCTGCTGCTTTCTTTTCATTTGTTTTCTCCTCACATTTTTTCTTCCCCCTTTCTCTGTCAGTCCTTCTCTCTGTCTGTCTCTGCCTATGTCTCTGTCTCTGTCTCTCTCTGTCTCTGTACCTACCTCTCTGTCAATCTGTCTCTGTGCCATCTCTGTCCCCATCTGTCTCTCTGTGTCTCTGTTTCTTTATTCTCTGTCTCTGTCTCTCTATACATCTCTATATCTCTCTGTCTAATCCATCTCTGTTTCTGTCCCTCAGTCTCTCTGCCTCTCTCTCTGCCTGTCTCTGTCTCTTCATCTCTCTATTCTCTGTCTCTCTCTGTCTCTGTCTCTGTCTGTCTCTGTCCCTCTCCCACCCACCTCTTCCCTGGACATGCCACCCTCTCTGCGCCCTCTCACACTTCGCCCCCACACTGACGGCCTCCCACCACCCGCACACCCCACCCGGACCTTTCCTTGCACAGGCTCCATCCTCACCTGCTGACACTACCAGAATTCCTTCTACTTGGCACTGTCTGCTCCTGCGTTTGAGGGGGTCATCTGTGTCACAGTGAGGCACAGCGGTGGCTCCTCAATAGCACTTGTTGATGAGGAGGGACAGTGATGAGGAGGAGGAGGATGAAGAAGAAAAATGCCACCCGCAGCAAGCTGTCCTGCCTGTGCCAAGCCAGGGCAGCTGGCAGCCTCCTCACCTTTGGCGTGGCAGTGTCTGTGCATCCACCAGCGTCAAACTCAACACAAGGTAAGGACATTAGCACTGAGGCGCCAGCTATTTTAGCCCGGGCCACCGTTGCCACTTTTGAGTGGGAGCATATGTTATGCTAATGATTCAGACCATAAGCATCTGTGCTGCGCACTATTTGTGCACAAGCTTCGCAAAGAGACCATCTGATACTGCATCTTCATCTGTTCCCTGTCCTGTGCAGGAGCAAAAATTGAACCTAGGGTTTAGGTAGTGTTCCAAATAAAATGCGAATGAAATGAAATATTCCAGCTAAAGAAGCAGAGGTCGAAGGACACAAAGATGCGGAAGTCACAGCTGCTCCTTCCAGAGTTTATAAAACGGTGGGCAGACACACACTTGGCTACAAAACCTGTAACCAGGATGCATGCTAGAGCCGTCTAAGCCCTCCAGAGCTGGTTATTTTAAGACAGTTTTGAAAAGTAATTGTTAAGCACAGCCATTATTAAAATTAAACTATATAAACTTACTACTAAATGTGTTATATTAAAACAAAGGCTACAGATATTTAAAATGTACCACCGTCCTAATTATCTTACTACACTTTATTGGTTTTGCTCTTGGAGTCATTAACACCTGCTGTATCTGCAGGGTGAGGTGTGTGCTGCCGCTCATCTCCAGCCGAGTCTGCGTTCGGCGACATCACGCGGGTCACCTGAAATCGGCCACAGGGATGGTAGTTACACTGTAGAAATTGTCGAAACCTACAAATCAGTGCCCTTCCTTTCTTTTCTTTCTTTCTTTCCTTCTTTCTTTCCTTCCCTCCTTCTTTCTTTTTTTTCTTTCTTTCTTTCTTTTTTCTTTTTTTCTTTCTTTCTGAGAGCCAACTGTTACCAGCCTACCACTGAATGTCAGTGTCATGAGGGGCCTTAAACTTGTGTGCACAGAGTCTGAAAATAACAGGTTTAAGATAGCTCTGACATCTCTCCTCTCTCAGAAGATAGCAAATTCACAGATCAGAAGCCTAGAACTTGGTGTGTGTGAGGGCAGAAGACAGGGGGACAATGGGACTAGACTAGATGGGAGGGACCCTTTTAACTCACATACTGGAGAGAAAACAGCTGTGACCTCCTAGAAATGGTGTTCAGAGGGATAAATGGCCCAGGTCCTACCTTTGTTGGAAAACAGAAGCCTCAACTGAAAACCTGCCTCCAGCTCTCCCTCACCAGATGGACAGACATCCATCTGTCGGCCCATTCCTTGTCCTTTGACTCAATTCTTGCCTCTCGCTTCTCTGGGGCCTCCACCACCACGTGCCTCCTTATCATTCCTGCATCCTCTACCTGAAACTGACCATGTTGTCATGACAGCAGCTCATCTTTCTCATCTTAAGAAGTAAATCCTGAAGCCCAGCACGCTCTGAGAACTGCCGTGGTGGGCTTCCTTTCTGGGCCGGACCTCCTGAGAGTACTGCCATGCTCACCTGGCCTCTCCATAGGCACCTCTGGCCTCACTCTGCACCACCGGGCAAAGTCACACCCACTGAGATCAATAAGGGGGTCACTGTCCTCCTCCCAGTCCCCTAGCACATGTTCCCCCTTCAAAACTGTGCCCTAGGATGGGCCCCAGTGCCTGACCACCAAGATGAGAGGCTCAGCATTGAGGAGTTTACCTTCCCACCTGAGTCCGGCTCCTTCCTCCTGAGAATGTCACCCTCTCGGTGAGCTCCATTCCCAGGTCCCATCAGCACTTTGCACACACAGGCAAAGCGAGTGCTAACCAAGGACATGAGGAACAGCGGGCAGTGGACTTGGGAGCGAGTGGATGAAAAGCTGTCCCAGCATGTGGCCACGAGGGCATTTAACCCCCCACAGCTGTGTCAGCAACACTCTGTCAAGCGGTGGAGACAGCCCGGTGCTGGCAGGGGCTGACCGCTGATGGCTGTCCTTGTT